ACTGAGATCCCTTTCTCAAAACTCAAGGCAATCTTTACAGAGATTAACTATGCAAAATGTATCCGCCTCTGTGTTTCCAAGAACAAGCTCTTCACCACCTCCTTTTCAGTCAGATTCAGAATGTGATTTTGAAGATAGCCTAGATTTTGTTCCATATTCACAATCAACCCCAGTTGCAAGATTCCACGAAACAAGAATTCATGGGATAAAAAGTGCTTTCGAAAAATTACCCGTTTTTAATTCAGATCATAATGCTAACTATAAAAATACAAGGGTGTTCTCTACAATTGATATACAGCAAACGACCCCAGAAGGCCCCAGAAGATCCAAAAGTCCTATTTTATTTGGGATTACACAATCAGTGGTTGTCAGCCCCTATCCTAATGCTGAGTGCATCGAGGCGGATATTGATGAATGGGTTCCCCCAACCACAAAAAAAGAATTTCTTTCACATAATCACTTCCAAACCCTAGGTCTAAGAAGGTGCCTTGCTGCCTGTGATTCCCCTGATCAGAAAGAGTTACCAAGAAAGAAATTAAAATATGCTGAACAGAGAACAGATAAATGGTTAGGTAACAATGAATTACATTTCAAAAATAAGATTACAAAAATAGTTAAAAACCAAAAACCTGAATATTCAGGCTGGACTGCATGCGATTCCGTTATTGGACTTAGTTCACATTCGGAAGTCAAATGTTGCCTTCCGTTTTCAGAAAGTTGGCGACCTTCAGTGCCTGAAGCTGACAGTGCTTGGTCACCTGAATTGTTTTCACAAAAGGTCATCTGAACTTTTAAAAATCATCCCTATATGACTGACTGAGTCTTCCATAGATAGAAGAATAATACAGTGTTGGTATTGTGGCCAACCAAACTTCTATCAACTGCTGGTCTTTGAAAAGAAATAAAATAATATTTATTGAGTACATACGGCAAACTTTGTGTTTGATTCTTCCATACCTTAAAAATACTCAGCATATTGCTTATTGAGTTCCAGAGTGTTTCCTAGTTGTTGTCAGTGGGGTGTTAGGTCCTGTTGAGTCTCCTACTCATGAACAACAACCCTCTGAACAACAGATAGGAACCTTGCCCTATCCTGCACTATTGTCATGAGCTCTAATATGCCCATTGTTACAGTCACGTGTCAGTCCATTTTGTTGAGTATTTTCCTCTTTTGCTGACCCTCCTCCTTTCCTAGCATGATGTCTGTTTTCATAGACTGGCCTCTCTAACCAGTATGCCCAAGTTTCACCATCCTTGCTTCTGAGGAGAGCCCTGGTTACATTTACCATGTATTCAAGATCACAACCCTGTGAAAACATAGATATTGTTATCCCCAGAGGCTCTACTTAAAAAGAGTACCCTTACAGGCTGCTCTGAAAATGAAAGAAGATAAAATCTGTGAGCACAATACCTGCCATCCATACCACCACAAATTCTGGTACCAGAATTTCCTATTTCCATTATGTCCTTTTTTATTATTTTTATTTTTCTCTAGTATACTAACAAATCAGATCCAACTGGCACAGGAGGAGATTGCCCCTCTGGGGGAAGCCGAATATAAAATTTAATATTTTAATAGTAGGCCAAATGATATATCTGGATATAAGGGAGGCTTAATATAAGCTAAAGATCACCTGGTGGCACTAAGGTGTTCCCTAAGAGTCAACATTGTTCTTAGCTTGTATTAACTGAATCCCTCCCTCCTGAGATAAGCATAAAGAGGAACTTGGCCTTACCTGGAAAAGACATCATTATCCTTTGTTTTTGTTTTGTACTTTCTTATGATTTTACTTTGTCTACCTTCCTTATAATGCCTAATCATATATTCTTTTCAGACAGTTCTTTCCCTCATCTGTTCTAATGGAGTGTTAATTCTGTATCCACTCTTCATATTCTCCTCTCAACCCTCCATGTCAGTCCTGTTTTGTAACAGCAGTGTTATGCAGTATTTGCCCTTTTGTGAGCTACTTTACTCAACATAATATTCTCCAGGGCTC